TCCCCCCCCCACACGCCCCTCGACCCCACTCACCCTGAGCCTCTCCCGCAGGTGGCCGTCGTCTCGCGGGACGAAGTGGGCGCCTACAAGCCGTACCTGTGGGAGCAGAGCTGCTTCGAGAAGGGCCCCATGTTCCGCGAGTGGCTCCTCACCAAGATCGTGAACGGCGAGAGGGCGTCCTACTCCGCCCCGAAGTTCGCGCGAATGCAGGACCGCACCAGGTCGCAGATGCTCGAGGACCTGGTGAACAACCTGCAGAACCACGCCGAGACTGGACAGATCCCCAAACCATACAGGTCGGGTTTCATCTTTTTATTTATCTCTTTACTCCATTTTTTTATTCTATTTTATATATTTATTTATTTCTATTTTAGTTTACTTTTTATCTCGGCGTTTGGTGATAAATGGGACGTGTCTGATTTTGTTTTGTGGCTTCACTTTTTTTCTTTGTCTAATAGGAAATGTCTGTTTGATATAAGTAGATGTAAACACATAAGTAGATTGATAAATAAACAGATAGACATTTATACTATACAGAAAGATAAACCCACAATCAAATAAACACATCAACAAACAGACCAAATAAAAACAACAGCAAAAAAACATCCAAACGAAGCCAAAGTAACGACCCTTCCTTCCCTCCGACGCCCCGACAGACGCGGTTCTTGGCGACCGATTGGCCACATGCGTCCCTCCTCGCCCTTGCTGGACTCGGTGCGAGACCTGTTCGAGGGCCACGACCAGCTTGCCAAGGACTTCACACGTGCCTTTCATAACAGCGAAAACCACTTCAACAACATGCTGTTCGATGTCTCCTTCATGGTCGGGGCCGGGAAGGAGAAGTCTAAGCTGTACGGCGTGAGGGCCATTCTCGGGGTGCGGAGCAGGTGAGTCGCGGGGGAAGTGAGGGGGACGGAGGGGGGGGGGGGGGAAGAGAGAGAGGAGGGGATAGCATGTCATAGGATAGAGAGAGAGAGAAAGAGATAGGTAGATAGGTAGATAGAGAGAGAGAGGGAGGGAGGAAGGAGAGAGAAAGAGGTATAGTCAGACAGACAGACAGACAGACAGAGAGAGAGAGAGATAGATAGAGAGGAGGGAGAAGGAGAGAGAAGAGGTATAGTAGACAGAGAGAGAGAGAGAGAGAGAGAGAGAGAGAGAGAGAGAGAGAGAGAGAGAGAGAGAGAGAGAGAGAGAGAGAGAGAGAGAGAGAGAGAGGAGTGAGAGAGAGACTGCAACCAGGAAGACGAGCTGCCGCCCCACGAGAACAGTGGAACGAGCGCCGCCGCACTGGAGGAACCTCGTTGTTGCTCGGCGCACCACTAGCTTCAGTGTCTCTCCAGATATTCCAAATTATGGAATCCATTCATTTCTGTAATGAAGCTCAGTCATTACAGTCTTTCAAAAGCAAAGTACACGTGTGGCTAAAGAACACTAATAGATCATTTTAATATTTGCATATTATGTGGCTGAATCAGATGAGGTTAGACTTTAAGATAAGAGTAATTAAACATGAATTCCTTTAGTATGTAAAAAAAAAAAAATGTTTTCGACAGTAACATGACTAATGATTATAACCGAATATGACGTGAATGTTTCACAATAAAGTATTAAAAGAGAGAGAGAGAGAGAGAGAGAGAGAGAGAGAGAGAGAGAGAGAGAGAGAGAGAGAGAGAGAGAGAGAGAGAGAGAGAGAGAGAGAGAGAGAGAGAGAGAGCGAAAGTGAATTAGAGAGAATTAGATGAGGAGAGACCCTGATTAACTAACTAACTGATATTTATATCATATATATCATATACACTAACTCATTAAATCACTGAAAATCATTGGGAAGAGAAAAAAAAAACAGAATACGATAAAGCAGCCAAATCTTTTTAATATAACAAAGAACCCAACCTCGAATTTGCTAAAGGAAAAAAAGTCATATATTTATGTATCCAATTACACAGACAATTCATACATAGAGAAATAACGAACAAATCGCTGGCCAAGTCATTTATTTCCTCAAGTTCCAAAGATATCTAAACCCTCGCATACCGCCCAGTGACCTTTGACCCGGCGTTCCAGAGTGTTCCAGGAGATGCTGTATGGGTTCAGCACCGGGTTCGGATCACCGCAGGTCTCGGTAGCCGACATCCTGGCCCGCGCCGTCCCCACGCTGCACTCACCTTCTCACAAGCCAAAGAGCTCAAACTTTCTGCAGGTCAGTATCTCATGACGTCAGCCAGCATCCCCTCCCCCTTGGGTTCCACTCCTCACGCATGACCTCTGAGTGACTCGTGGGGGTGGGGGTGAGGGGCGTTTCGGTTCTGGGGAGTTGTGAATCTGGGATTTTGTTAGGGTTTGTGTCTTTGTTTCTTCACTTATTGGTTCTCTCTGAACTCATTTTGCTGTCTCTTGTTACCTAGTCATTTTATCCTTGTGTACCTTATCCAACACGCTTACCTTGCTCTCTTTTTGGTTAATTCCCGTGTCTGACTTGCTTATCCGTATGTTTTTTTTTCTGGCAAAATCTTTTATCCAAGAAGGCCCTATATTCTTTTTTGGCAAAATTACATATTCAGCGAGCTTACCTTTGTGCACTCACGACCAAAACCTTTATTCAGAGAGCTCCTTTATTCTTTTTGACTAAATCAGCGAGCTGTTTATCCAAAATCCCTTTCCTCAACTTTTGGCCAATGCCCTTATCCATCGAGCTTATCCTTGCATCTGAACCAAACCACTCCCTTACTTTATATCTAGCCAAGTCCCTTACCTAACGAACGTATCTCTGTCGCTTTTTCCCAAATGACTCTTCAAACACTCCCTTATGAAGCGAGCTTACCCTTGTGTACTTTGGATCCAATCCCAAGTCCCTCATTTAGCACTTTAACAATTAACAATTAAGAATCTCAAACTCCTTACTGAACACTGACCCTTCTCCCCCCTCGACCAGGTCCCAGATATCGAGACGCCCCGCCCCAAGAGCGTGCCCAACTCCCCGATAGTGATGCGGGCGTTCTCTCGCCTGGGCACCCTCACCTCCGGCTGGGGGAGGTCGTCCAAGAAACACGACCGCCTCTCCGTCGAAGACAAGAAGAAGTGGGCCTCGTCGCAGGACTGCTCAGGTGCGCCTCGGGGTTGTCGGGAGGGGGCGGGAGGGTAGGAGGAGGGAGAGGAGAGGGAGAGGGGGATAGAGAGGGGGGTAGGAGGAGGTTGTGGGAGCTAGAGGAGCAGAGGGAGGGGAAGTGAGTGAGAGAGAGAAAGAGAGAGAGAGAGAGAGAGAGAGAGAGAGAGAGAGAGAGAGAGAGAGAGAGAGAGAGAGAGAGAGAGAGAGAAAGAGAGAGAGAGGCCGTGGGAGAGAGCGAGAAAAGAAGAAGGAAAGGGGGAAAGTAACAGATTGTGGAGCGGGTCGTCGAGTTCAGAGATTTCTGTTTGAAAGAAAAGGGAGAGATAAAAAAAAAAAAAAAAAAAAACGAGATACATATTTCAAGAGAGAGAGAGAGAGAGAGAGAGAGAGAGAGAGAGAGAGAGAGAGAGAAAAGAAAAGAAAAAATAAAGACTCGACCCTAGTTTTTGGATAAATAGTTATGTTAATGGAAAGTGACATAACCTTCTGCCTCTGAATGAATAATCTCGTTCATCTTTTCTTCTTAATTTTCCTTTTCATTTCCTCATTTATGGTGATAATTATATTTTTGCAGCTTTGTATTTTCCTCCGCTGACCTACGGACGAGATTATTAAAGTCTTATGATTTTACATATTAACCCAAAACACCTTTTTATCTTTTAATAACAAGTAACCATATCTTTGTTACTCTAATTTGTGTCGTGGAAAACAATTGATTTTTTTCCATTCTGATTGTACTAAAACATGCAACGTTAATTCAGCTTAACATTAATTCAGCTTAACGTTTATTCAGCTTAAAATTAATTCAACTTAACATTAATTCAGCTTAACGTTAATTCAGCTTAAAATTTATTCAGCTTGTCGTTTATTCAGCTTAATATTAATTCAGCTTAATATTAATTCAGCTTAACATGAATTCAGCTTAACATTAATTCAGCTTAACCCTTCAGTCTAAAACAAGAAAGTGTATGGCTTCCTTCCACTTATGGTTTCATTACTAACGGCCAAGTTACTCGCAGCTATTTACAACAGCAGCTTAGTCCATTCATAATGACAAAGCTTAATGATTCACAAAAGCTTGATACATCTACAACAGCAAAGTTTAGTCTATTACTAATGGCAAAACTTAAACCATGACGCTTAAAAGAATCTAACATTCAAAGCAGCAATTTAGGCCACATGAAACATCCATTTTTTCCCCCATCGCCTCATTTCTCATTCCCCTCTTTTCCTCTCTCCCTCTTCCCCTTTTTTTCTCGCAGGAAAAGAAGGCAAGGAGAAACAAGCGGACAAGAACGCGCTGTCCGTGCCCCGGTTAAGCGTGTGTGCGGACGGCGGGAAGGTAGACCGTGCCCGGTTATGTCAGACGGAGGTACGTGTGACAGTCCCCCAGACCACCGAGAGGCGCCAGACCCAAGTACGGTCATTTTTCATATTCTTTCTTATGTTCATATATCTCTATTCTCCTTTTGGTGCACGTGAAAACAGACAGACGAACAGACAGACACGCAGCAAAGCGTTCTCCCAACCCTTTTATTTCCCCTCTCCCTGGACCCCTACAACACGTCCTTTACCCATGGCCGCACGTACGCAATGTACATTCACATGGTGCAAGTGTTACAGGAGTTACTGTTAGTTACATTAGGGACACGTCCTTGTCCTTCTCTCGCCCGCCATCCTGCCTCGACCCCGCTCCTTTCTGGGTGTACATGCACACGCACAAGTGTATATATACCTAAGACGCATGTAGTAACACGCACGCACTCACACACGCACGGACGAGGATATACGATAGGTAACTTATATACGATCATTCTTAGTGGAATTTACACACACACACACACACACACACACACACACACACACACACACACACACACACACACACACACAC